GTAAAGTTGTGAGCTCTTGAAGTCCGATTTTGGGTCACCCTTTTACAAGTCGTCGGAAAGTTAGAAATAACTAACATGAAAATGGGTCAAAAATTTGACTAACGCTAAAATAAAAATTTTGAATGCAGTTTTTTAGAGAATCAAACCACAAGTCTAAAGAGGGATGTCACTTTGAAATCGGATTAAATTTGGTAAAGTTATGACCTCTGAAATTTCAATTGTGGGTCAAGGTTTTACCTATGCAGTTAAAGTTGAATCGTTTTTATTTGCCGCTCGAATAAAGTTGTTCGCTTATGATAGCTTTTGTCAACTAATCGTCTATCATCCGCCTTGAGTCTATTTTTATAGTGGACAAACCTCAGCAACATTCCCCCGATATCTGGCAACAACAACAATCTGGGAGCCAACGATTAGCAATTGCCCTGAAAGTACTTTGCCTTGCCTTTGCCGCCTGCCACGCCCACAAAAACGGCCGCTAAGCGAGGAGGGCGTCACCTGAAACACTCCCAAGCATCCTGCTTATTTTCTACTTTGCTATGGGGGAGGGGGGTTGGATAAAGGGAGGGTTGGGGGCGGAAAATTGGAGGTGGAAGTAGGAGGGTGTGGCTGGCGTGTGCCTGCTGGAAAGGCGCGTGTAAAGCAACAGAAAATCGATTAACATGGCTTTAATGGCCCCCATCTCTTGCTGCCAACAGGGTTGTCAATTTAGATATTTTTAGCCTAAGTTCGAAAGCGATATATCAAAAATAATGAGGCTGACCGCTTATTTGTTTTTTTTCTTATAAAAAAGAATATTTTTTTAACAGCTAAACTGCCTACTACATTAATTTAATTTCAAATTAATCAAGTTTCAGCAACGACCTATTGGTTGCCAATAAAATCATAAATATCAAGTTCGAAATTCGGTAAAGCTATTATCTATAGCTTTTTTAAGGATGAGAAAAATATTTTTTATTAGCGACTTCTCTGTTATTTATTTTACTGTTCTTGCCAGATTGAGGTCAAGGGTTTTTGACAACTATAAAGAACATAAAAACACATAATATTATTAAATGATTAAATCAATTAAAGGATTTTAATAAAAAGGTCGTAATATAGACTTTTTATTATCTTTTTTTTTTTTGAAAAATTTTTTTAAGGAACTATTTTTAGCTATTTTTAATCCCTGACTTAACTTTGGTTAGTACTGCAATTTGGCCAACACTGCCAATAAGAGTGAGATGAGGAGGCGGCAAACTTTTCCACGCTTTAGGGACAAATCCGCACCCCTGCCCCCGCACTTCCGGTGTAAATATGCCAACATCTGGGGACCAGACTTCGTAGGCCTCTTGAATCGTGGAATCGTGAGTCGTGAGCGACTTTGGCGGCATTAATTGTGACAGATTTGCGCCATCATCCCCCAAACGCAATCACTTTAAATTCCAACCTTAAATTCTGAAATGGGATATTAATGCATTCAAATTTCGAGCCATGGGGGCGATTGTAATTGACTTGGCATTGTGCCGCCATCTGCAATATGGCCACTGTTGTCGGTTAAGCGAGATTTAATTGATTTGAACTTTGGCAGACCCAAAAATTTGTAATAAGCCTGCCCATCCAAACCATGCGATTGATATAATTAAAGCAAATTGCCTAATTTAATTGCTGTATTTGATCTTTGGCATTTTTGATGACCTTGCCCCTTTCCAATTTCACGATAATTATCTTTGCAAAAGGAGGTCCTAATACCTATGTAAAGCTTGAATACTTAATTCAGACTTCGGAGAGGTATACATATATAGAATACAATACTTCCATATATTCATTTAAATTTTGGATACCTGTTTTGGGACGATTCTTAGTAATATGTGTGTAATTCTTAAGAATTTCCAAAAAAAAGGTCTTTTGAAAAATGTTTCAAACTGCAACTTAACCTATTTAAATCTGATTTCCAAGTGGTATACCTCTCAAAAGTTATTGTTAAATTCCCTTTCAATCATTTTTGAAATTACCTAAAACAAAGATGAAAAAGTGTTTAATCTCCGATTAGAGTAGACCCCCGAAAAACGAAATAATATGGCCTGATTGATCGATTTAATTGCCAACGGTAATTCGAATGCCACCAACAACAATAACAATTGTAAATCAAATTTCCCGACATTTCCCCACTCATTCACCCGCAAACTCGGGCACACAAGTCTAATTGAAAATGCTAATTACAATCGAACACAAACTAAACAAAAGTTATTAAAAAAAAAACTAACCAAACGAAAGTGGAAGCGGTAAAATAAACTATCGATTGCGGAAACATAAAACTGGAAATCCTTTTTAAATTATGGTTTTACAAAATATTCAAATACAGAACGAAACAAACAACTATGATGACTTATTTTTAAAGCAGTAAATCGAATTACCTTGGTTAATAGGGGATCATCTAAAAACTTATATTTAACTTTTTATATTTTTGTAGACTTTGAATTGTATTCCTAAAGTAACATTAAAAACCTAGAATTTAAAAATAGAAATTAAACATCCAGATACTTTGTATTTTCAAACAAATTCCAAAAACTCATAAAATGCAAAGCTTATTGTGGCTATCGATTACTTGAGTCGAATAACAGAATCCGGCTAGAATATTCAACAGATATAAGCCCAAAAACAATTCATGTGCGTTTAGTTTATTTGCCTACATACAAATACACAAACATATGTACTTCTAATTCTGGTTCGGTTCAATTTAAGTTTTGCTTTTTGACAAATTGCCATGTCTGTGGTGGGTTGTGGGTGGTGGGTGGTGGGGGGAATGTGGAATTCATGCAGCTTTATTATTCATTACCAATGCAAAACGTTTGTAAAGCGTGCACTCAACTCGAGTTTTTGAGCCAGGCAATCGAAGCTGGAAAACCCTGCAAATATGAAAATAAACTGCAGCAGAAACCATTTTAGTAAGCCCAAAAAATATAACTTAAAAACTACATTTATTAGTGTCCTTGATAAAACCACTTTTAAATTTTGTAATATTCAAAGATTTTAAAGTACCTTTAGGATAAGGTTTTTTTTAAGATTTTCTAAAATTATCGAGACAACTACTATTCGGTTTTCAAAATATTTAAATAAATGTAAAAAAAAGCAAAAAAATTACAAACTATATATATATTTTTTTTACATAGTTAGCCCCTTTGTTACCATATAAAACTATTTCCCAACAGAATTGCACTGCCAACTAGGCGTAATCAAACCTAATTACCAATTTATTCTTTTCAGGAAGTCTAATTTATAGGCTGTTTCACAATTCGAGCACCGGACTGCAGTCAAAAAAAAATGCAAATAGCAGAGCTTTGCGAATGTCAACGCGAAATATTTATGCAGCATTGATTTGACAACAACACAGCCCAACAACAATTGCCGGACAATGAATTCAACTATGGATTTTCGCACTCGTGCAACGAAAACCACAAAGGAGGATCAAGCTTGCCTGCTAATGACAGGACATTCGAGCTAATGCCATTCAAATTAAATTAAATTAAGCAAGGCCATGCAAAAACATTTCAATACTATCATGCCAAAATACTGGCCGTTCACTAGAAATGCTGACAAGATTTAATTAGCGAAACTATGGGGATATTATTATGACCCAATAAATGTGCAAATATAGGCTTAAGAAGCCGTGAATGGGTGAAATTATTTACATAATTTGGAAGCTCATAGATAAATATTTGGATGTTTACTCGAAATTTGACAAACGGATTTGGAATTATTTATCCAAAATGATAAAGAAGCAAGGGCATTCGTAGTGAAATTATTCGAATGTCAGGGGTTCCTTTAAAGGTGGCTTTAAGTTGCGAGTTTTAGTAGGGAAAATATTGTTTCATGTTTTTTTTTTTGAATAGGATGATTACCTGTTTTTATCATATTATAATATTTTATTTACTTATAATCCCAATCGAGAGTTTTAATTGATTTCTATTTATATTGTGCCCCAGTAAATACCTTAAACACTTAGGATGTACAGCCACTTAAAGTTCAGGGTTTAATCAGTGGGCCAAAGGTTGATTCTGATGTGGTGTTAACATCCTTAAAGTCCTGCGTCTCGGGTCTTATTCATCCGCCTTCCGTTTATAGTTGAACATGGCAGTGTTCATTGGTGTCAGCCCCTCTCCCGCCCACCGCCCACCGCCCCCTTTAACCCTTTTGCAGCAGCATCCTGATGCCACCCGCTTAACCCCTCAACGCCGGAGTGCGTGACTCCATGCCTGTTTGTAGTCTGATGCAGATTGGCTCCGGCTGCGGAACGTCAGCGGAAGTTTAGCGCATTGCAAGTGGGCGCACGGCCGCCTGCCACGCCCACACGCCCATACGCCCATACGCCCTCAGTGTTGCCAATAATAGCTTACAAAGGTAGCTAAAATGTGCCACCAAAACAACTTACTATTTGATCTGATTATAATTTAATCATCGACTTCTTAAAAATTCATTTCTTTGCGAAGCTGCGATTATTTCAAATTATTTTTAATGTGTCATAAATAGGCTGATCAAAAATCCACTCTGTTTTGTCTTTCAGAAGACCGTTTACAAATTAAAAGTGCTTTTCATTTTAGAACAAGGAAATTATCATTTTTCAACAGTCTTTTTTATGACAGCTATATGACATAGTCTTCCGTTCCCGAAATAATTTCACTTAGTTCAGATATATTTTAACATGATAAATTCAGACCAAAAAGAAAACAAACTTTTTGTTTTCCTAGACCAATCATTAATTCGCGCACACATATTTTGGAATGATTTAAAAGCGGATATACACAAAAATATAAAAACAAACTGGCCACAAAAAACAGCTTGAGTGCACAAGATAACTGCGGACTTGTTGAAATAATATTGTTACAAAATCAACTCGTCAATTTAATACTGTATGACACAAAAGTGTTGAACGAGCAATTTGTATACATTATTTTAGGCAAAGATAAACAAAGCGCGGCTATATAAGCCGGGTTTTCAATTCCAATGGCCATTCAACATCAAGATGCGACTCTTTTTGCTGTTCTTTCTGGCCCTAAGTTGCTGTCTGATGGTAAGTTAAATTAAAAACCGATTTATAAATATATGGTTAAAATAGTTCACGAAATATACATGAACCTTTTGATCAAATTCAAACATAAAGTTCTAAATTTACATTTACAGTAGCTTAAAAGTTTAACAATGTTATTTTTCGAACTTTTAAGCTACTGCAAACGTAAGTGTCAGTTCCATCCATTTAGTTTTTCAAAACTGAGAGACTAGTCTTGTGTACAATCGCTAACATATTTTCTAAAATAAGTTCTAAAAATGATCTAAATATTTTTAGCAACTGACCATGGCAGATGTGAGTCATCATCACAACTCCACAGGTGAGCAATTCAGAGCTCCTCCACCACCTCCTAGCTCCACCGCAGCTGGATCGACTGGTTAGGTGGATCCAGAACCATATAAAGGAACCACCTTTGACCAAATTCCAATGTAAACAATATCGAGTTAATCCCTGTGCAGTACTACCGCATTAAAATAAAGGCTTCAAGCCAGCAATAAGGAATTGTTTTACTAAGGGACGGTTTCTCGAGTGCCAATTAAGTGCCAGTAATCTAATGACCGGTTATCCTTTTTGTAAATGTGTACATTGTATTTACTTTTTGCATTTACTTTTCGTCATTTTCGATTTGAAAATGACCTAACAGACATAATATGTGCCAGTTTGGAGTTAATTCTCACATGAGCTATTTCTTCAACCGAGAAAAATATAACAGTTGAAAAACTAAATGACCTAAAAAGTGGTCAACATTAAATCATTTTTCATGTAATGTTTCCTAAATTTTTCTCCAATTTTGAAAAAAAAGAAAATTAACTTAATCAACCAAGCCAAAGAAAATTTGGCCAAGATACAAGTATACTTACATTAGAATTACAAAAAAATGTAAATTACCAAATTTGTTTGGAAGAGCGGCAAGGTCAGTCTATATTTTTCGTGTAGAAAAGCATATTGGTCACAATGCACAATAAATATAAAGCACCCATTGTACACTAATAAATTTAAAAATAAACTTATTTTCAAAAAGTTGAGGCACTCCTTGTTCGATCTTTACGAAATATTCAAAGATGCCAGAAAAAGGCCATCATGCCAGTACTTTGGCGTGAAAAGCGCAGTCGACACCCGAGGCAATGCAAATATATGCACATGTTGACATAAGTACATGCAAGCCGACGCCGGCCACCAAATGACGAGGCCAATGGAGTTGATAGCACCAACTAAGATGCCACGCTGCCCCATCACCCCCCTCCCCCCCTCTGACATAACCGCCCAATACCACCCCCAACACGCTGGATAAACACCAGGCAGCCCCAGAATTGAGGTCTCCAAACAACAACAACAACAACAACACGGGTCTAGTCCATATCATTCCACATTTTCGGGGACGTTTATGCGAGGTTATAAAATCACAAAGACAATTATTACTCACATTTTTGATGGATTATTTCTCGTGATAAGCAAACACTTTTTTAATTTTTTAAATTATATTTCGGTTTCTTAAAGAATAAATTAGTTTATTGAAGCATTCTCTTATATTACTATTTACACTTAAAAATATATTTCAGCAAACAATTTCAACAGTTTTTTAACGTCATAATTGAAAACAGTTATTAAACATTTGCATGGAACCTATTATAACATTCCTTGACTTATATTAAAGCTCACAGTAACTTGAAATAATATAAAATTAATTTTTTTAATTTAGATATAACATATTAGTAATCCAATGTTAAATGTTTAACCTAAAATTAAATAGGTAAGCTAAAATATTCAGTAACAGGAATTTACTCATAATAATTTTGTATCATTTCACCTTCTTAAGTTCCATATAAAGCGAAATATTTTTAAAATATTTTTTTTGCTTAACTTTAAGTGATTTAATTTCAGGTCATGACAAATTTTCTCTAATATTAGAACATTTTTTACCATTTTACGAACATTTTGAGCAAACAAAGGTAAGGACGGTGTATTTTTCGGAACCAGTCTTTTTGGAAACTGTGCCGTGTGAACAGCCTGTAAAGCGCGCAGGAAGCCTTTGAGCCTTGAGGTCACTGCGAATGCGTGACGCGTGAAAATTCGTCAAATGCAGGCCAACTGACATGGGGGAGCGACTGCATCCTCCATTCTCCTGCGCTCCACCCTCCACCCTCCTCCCTCCTCCCTCCTGCACTCCGCCCAATGCTGCTTAAATATGCACAAAGACTCACCCATGGCCAAAAGGCCGAGACCGGCAAGATTTGCTCGGCCATGCGAGTGTCTGTGTGTAAGCCAGAGGGCGGGGCGAGGGGCGTGGCTCGGTCGGCTGTCAACTGATTAAGCAGCTGCGAAGAGAAGCAAGGGCCAAGGACCCAGGACCAAGGACCAGGGATCCAGTACCCAGGACCAAAAGACCAAGTGACTGTCATCGCCGCGATTCAGGGCATTCATATGGTAACAAGCGATTCACACCACTTGAATTGCAATTAAAAGTCAGAGACTGAATCTTTTGGGTGCCCGGAATAAAGCCATTCAATCCATGGGGCAGCTGCATTAAGTGGGCTTTATACTGACATCAGGGAGCTATGCTCTCCCAAATCAGTGCCACAGAAATCTTCAGAGACATTAAAACACCTTAGAAACTAGAAAGCTTACCTTTACATTTTGTTTTTGTCCTCCTTTTTTTAAGGAAATCCTTGGTGAAGTCATCGGTATCGGAACCGAAAACGGCCTCTAAAGAACTTTCTGGAAACACACAAAGATTGTTTATCGCTCACGGTCAAAACAATTTTCATTATTACTTATATTTCTTTTGAATTATTAATTAACAAAATAATAAATAAATTAAAAAAATAACACAGGGAACATAGAAATATTACCACGTGTATTTTTCAAGAAGACTATCTAAAAATTAGAAGAACTAAAGACTGGTGCATGCATTGAGAATTAGTAAATTTATGGAAACGTAATGTTAAAATACTGGGTATGTTAAATATTAAGATTATTTATTATATGTACATACAGTATGTGGAACTGAGTAAAATGTTGTTGAAAATGTTAAATGTCAAATAGTGTTGAAATTGCGACATTACATTACATTACATTTGGGTGAGTGTGTGAAGTGATGATAATATAAGCCGCAACCAAAAAATAAGTGTATGATTTCATCTGGGGATGACCACCTGGACTTATCCCTTGCCCGGCTCCTTGCCCTGCTCCTGCTCCTTCTGCTTCTGCTTCTGCTTCTGCTGCTCCCGCTCCTTCTGCTGCTCCTGCTCCTTCTCCAACATCAGCTTCGCCTCGTTGAGCATCTCCATGCGGTCGTAGGCGTCGATGCGGTCCTCCAGCTGGGCCACCTCCAGCCACATCTGGGTGGCCATGTACCAGCGCGGCGGCGGATTGCCGTTGATCTTGGCCAGCAGCGTCTCCAGGCGCTTCACATCCCACTGGTTGGCCTCCTCGCGGCGGTTGGTCATCAGGGACTTCAGGTAGTTCATCTGACGCTCGCCTCCATTCGGGGTGATCACCCGGTCGGCCGGTTCCACGGCGCCGCCCTTCAGCGCTTGACAGGATTTCTCATTCGGGCCGGGCACAAACGGTTGGATGGCTGCAACCGGCTGGCCACCGCCCATCATGATGGCGGCGGGCAGGGGTTCCGCCTGCGGATTGACCGCCGGCATCAGGTGCGTGGCCAGCTCCTGGGGCGGCGGTATCTGCGGGCCCAGAGGCCTGCCCGCCGGCTGCACCTTCTTGCGCTTCGCCGGTCCGGTGGCATCGAAGTCCGTTTGGGTGCCAATGGAACGGCGACCCACGGGATCCGCCTGCGGTTGCACCACTGGCGGCACGGTGCGCGAGGCAATCTTCGAAATGCGCTTCCTTGGGGCCATTACTTACAAGCTCACACAAGTGACTGAGTTTTCTCTAGATTTCTTTTTTTTCCCGGTTTATTCCGGAAGACGTACCAGCTCGATTGACCAACCAACTCGAAAAGAAATTACCCAGCTGTCAAAGCTTAAAATGAAGCCTTCTTAGTGCTCGTAAAATCTAAAAAATACTTAGAGTATTGGGTAAATAAAAAAAACCAAAAATAGGGCTGCCACCCAAAAACTGCATTATATAACCCTATAGATGCATTAATTTCCCTGGTCTTTTGGTTCCACAATTTTAACGGAATAACAGTTTCTGGCCTTTTAAAATAACAAAACCCACGACATAATTAAGGGACCCCGATTTTATTTTAGATATAATACAAAAATGCATTTTTGGTTTGGGAATCTATTTACATAAAGCTTTGTGTTTCAGCTGTGAATGCTAATCGATGGGCAGTTTTATAACAAATTCTAACATTTTGACCATTACTTTGATAAAGAACCGTAACTCTTAATGTTTTTTTCGGGTTTTGGACTTTATTTTCGCCAAACTAAGGCGCACAGCCAAAAGAATAACAGTTTTGTATAGCTAAGAAAACTAAACAACTTCCAAATTAATTTGGAAAATTTAATTTTTTACATAATTAAATAAAGATTTTTTGCGAAAATTGCGCATTAATGTAATTGTTCAAAGGTGAATGTCAATCGTTTGAAAATTTTAAAACGAATTTAAATTCAAGACAGCCCGCCATAATAACTTTATTTTATAAGCCAACCATAGTTCACCATATTTTAATCGGCGGGTGGCAATTAAGAATTATCACCACCCGCTGATTAAAATCTGTCAGTGGCATAATGTTATGAATTGAAGCTTAACGGAAATTAGATAAAATCTATGGCATGGTAATTAAAAAGTAAAGAGAAAAGCGTGATAATAAACGTCTTTCACAGCAGCTTTTAATTAAATGACCAAAAGGCAACAGGTAAAATCCAATCGCAACATTAGCTTGACAGGCGCCCTCTGGCGGCTGAACTGAACAGCCAGATGAAAAGTGCCTTATATCGTAGTACAAACTAGTGGGTGAACCCTCACAGCCCTTAAATTTGGGTAAGGCAACCACGCAAACGTTTCCTTGGTGAACTCTGTATGACCGACCACAGCAATCAAGTGAAAACTATTCACAATTGTGAAGAAGCACTGCAAGAAAATCAATTTAAATTCCAAAAAAAAACCACAACAATTAAAACCAAACAATTTAGTAAGACATTATTTGAATTTAACCACTTATCATTGAAACTAATTAAAAAAAGAAAACAGTTATTAAAAAATTAATTGTTGCTTTATAAATAATTTTGCGGTATTGTTATAGAAAATGAGTTTCAAAATTGCAAAAATTCCTTGAAACTGTGTGGGTTTTGAAAGGGATAATTGTTTTTTTGGACCTAGGTTAAGTACAAAGTATTGTAGATCATAATTACCTAGTTATATGTAAGTAAGGTAAAAATAAAGAAGAATTTTTCTAATTTTTTTAAATAATAAGTTAAATTATGTCTGACTTTGGATATATTTAAAAATAAGCATTAACATAATGTGCGAATGGAATGTAATGGCTTATCCTAAAGATTTCCAGTTCATCTGATATTTTTATAAGCATATATACATTAAGCTAATTATAGAACATACAAAATACATAATTAATTATGTTATTAACTAGCTCAACTCTTTTTAAAAATCTTCACCTGAGTAAGTAAAAGGGTAGCCATCTATTTTTGAATCTTGGCAAGGTAAAAAGCACTACATTTTGTTACCTGGATACGGAGTAACTAACAACACTAGAAGTAATCTACTGTACTATCTAGTATTTTTTGCCAGTGCATTGCCGTTGCCTGGCAACCTTCAATTTGGGACTCGGTGGCGCAAACAAAGGCGCCAAAGACCACAACAAATGACGGAGTGGAAAATGCAATTGCCAGCGCAGCCGGCGCAGCGAAAACAGGTTGAACTCGTCGGAAGAATCCAGGAATGTCCTTCAAGGATGTGCGAGGTGCGTGCGTACTGACTCCCATCATCAATCCCCCTCTCAATTGGCATTTCTTCCTCCAGATCTGGGGGAACATCTCAAGCTGCTGGGCTTTCCACGGGTATTTCCCCTACAGTCCCTGGCCAATCCGCATGGCAGCCTGGCCAGTTTCCACATAGTGGCCGAGCTGCTCCAGTGGCTGGCTGGTCTGATGGAGCCGGGCGCCACTTTGCCCGGCGGCGTGGACTCGGAGGAGCAGCGGGTGCTACTCGTTCGCTCGGCCACCGAGTTTTTCGTGACCAAGGCGGCCATCCGTTTGAATCCCCGGAAGCTGTATGCCGCTGCTGCGGTCACCGCGGCGGAACTGCAAAAGATAACCCGACTCCTGACAGCCCCTGGACAGAGCGAGGCGGATGGCGACGAGGAGGAGCAGAGGGATCAGTACAGGAGCCTGAATCCCGTGGACATTGGCGATAAGATGGAGGAGCTGCGCAAGGCCCGGGAACTGGCCGCTGATTTGACCCAGCGCGGCACCACCATATACGAGCTGCTCTCCAAGGAGCTGCTCAACAAGGAGGCGCGTCTGTCCCAAGCCCAGCGACCTCTGGAACTGCTCAGTGTGGAGCGGACCCTGAAGAACGCCATCCAGGCCAGCCAGGTGCGCCTGCAGTCCAGTCGAGCCCAACTGGAGGCGGCCAAGGTGGAGCTGAATGCCCTCGGCTCCAAGTTGCAACGCCGCCGGGCGGAGCTGGAGAGGACTCGCCAACGATTGGAGGCACTGCATCGCATTCGACCTGCCCACATGGCCGAGTTCGAGGACTGCGAGAAGGAATTGCAGCAGCTCTTCCAGCGCTATTTCCTGCGGCTCCATGTGCGGGATGCCCTCAAATCGCAATTGGAGCTGCGTACCAAGCGGGCCACGCCCATTGCCTCACCGGTTCTGCAGAAGCCGGCCGAGAGTTCCATGCCCTTCATCCCGGAGGGACTCATCGAGGACGATGACGACGACGACGAGGACGACGAGGAGGATCTGGATGACGAGGCCGAGGACGATGGCGGCGATGCGGTCTCCGGCCTCGATATGGTGGTCAATGGACGCAGTGTCTTCGGCCTGGACTCGGAGATACCGGACATTCGGGACGAGGATAAGCTGATGCAGCAGGGTACCGGGCACCTCAGCTCGGCACAGGGAAAGCGTCCTGGCACCGCCACCTCCAGGATGAGACCCACCACGGGCAGGAGCAGGAAGGGAGCCGCAGGTAGGGAATCACTGCCATTTCCCCTCCCAAAAGGAGTGTCTAAAATGGCCTGCAAAATGATATCATGTTCATTTAAACCATCAATATTTTAACTTTCATATTTGCATGCCCACAAATGCCAAATACAAATAGTAAACATTCATTTATATGTGAAAAGTATGACCTGGTGGTTCAAAGTCACCGAAAATACTATATTATTGTCCCTAGAATATGTCTAAAAGTGTGATTATCCTTCTTTTATAATTTGTTACATAATTTAAGACAAAATTTCGAAACCAAACCTTTTTTTTATACATTTCAAGCCATTAAACAAGGTAATCGAAAATTCATAGAAACTATAGGAGATACCGCGCTTTTTAAAACACGGTTTTAAATAAGCATTTTAAGCTGAATTTAAAAGTTCAGAGGACAGTAAAAAAGTTAATTGTTTAATTTAATTTCTATTTAATTACCTCGAATTTCCACTTCAAGTTATAATATCTATAATAACCAAAATCTAAACCCGCTTTTCCCTCACAAATTATTTTTATTTAATTAAAATATATTAAAAAAAAACAATATAATTTCCCTATTCATTATTCATTTTTTAGTCACGACCGGATTGTGGAAACCACAATTTACCTTTACTTACCAATATAATATTTATTTTTGAATTCTTAAAAACAATAGACAATATCGTAATGAAATGTAATTACCAGCTGTGATAATGCATTAAAATGCACTTAATTATTACAAACCTTAGGAAAAGGGGCAGCAGGACCAGATGGAGCAGGTGGCGATGCCAGAGCAGCTCGAGGATCCCGAAGAGGAGGAGGAGGAGCAGCTGGAGGAGGAGCAAGTGGCGCCCATCGAAATGGCCGCAATGGACCCGGCAGCAGTATGCTCAACTCACGGGACGATGACAGCAGCTTCGGGAGCTCCGAAAGTGAACTGGATGTGGGCGAGATCATGGGCATGAGTGGGCTGAGCGGGATGAGCGCCATCAGCGGGATGAGTGGGATGAGCAACATTGCCTTGGGAGCCGCCGATGACGATTGTAAGTCTTCCAAATATCCCCCTAACTTGACATGGCTTGTAACACCCAGCTATCCCCAGTTGATCTCAACTCCATCGACGACATTAGCATTTCAAAGTTAACTGGGGAACTGCCGCTGCGACCGAAGACGGCCAATAAGGCGGAGCACCACAGCGATGAGGATTTCTAGGGTTAACCAATCATTTTCTACGGATTTTATAGACACGTCAAAAAGGGCATTCAGGTCATCACAAATAAAGAAATATTCCCAGCAACTAAATAATAGATTTATTTCGAACCAAACACGGGGGAAATTCAGCATTGAATCCAAATGCGTACATAAGGACTTTCATTTTATAATTTGTAGTATCGATAAATCGCCTTAAAGCGTCTGGATGAGGAAACCAAAGAATATTTTAATAATAATACTTCAATTACTAATTTTATAAAAAACTAAACGGCTTTTGTTCTCCTTAATATAAATTGAAAATTTTTCCAATTTGTATACAGCTTCGATTGTCTGTATTAAATAAAGCTTTCTCTCATTGGGGAAGTAGATTACGAATTCAAATGCATTAATTTAGTTTATTTATTATAACTTTATTCGATTCATATTTATAAGTGCCTTACAAATAATACGCATATGTAGATATAGAGATAGAGTTATGGGATAGGACGAAAAAAAAGGGTAATTTTTCTTGTTAGCCCAGACAAAGATAGGTCTTGGGCACTGCTCAGTGGAGAAACATATGTACAAAAGACAGGTGACTGGGATTGGGACCACTACTACCACTACCCCTTACATCACCACATCCCGGCAGACGATCTTCGTCTTGGAGGAGGCCCTCTTATTGCCGTACAAGTCCGAGGATGCCGACGACGAATAGTCGATGTGGCTGCCCGCCTGCGACTGCTCCTGCCTGGCCAAGAAGCTATCGGCTATGGCTCGATCCAGACCCGTGTACTGGAAGTTGGGTGCTCCGTCCAGGACGTCCGCCTCCGATTTGCGGCGCTGCCGGCGATTGGCATCCGACTTCCCCGCCCGCCGGCGTCGTCGCTGTCCATTGATCTCCGCCGACTTGGTGCTCTTGTGGGTGCGATATGTCCCGCTCAGGCTGGCCGGATGGGCGTAGAGCACGGATCCGGGTCCGGGGCGCATGTACGGGAGGGTCATCCCGCGGTATTGCGGCGGCACGGGCAGCAAAAGTCCAGCTCCGGCGCCAGGGGGTGGAGGAGGCAGGCGGGTGGGCGGCGGCGGAGCCATCTGAATCATTTCAAAATCACATACGATTAGCATTGTAACAATAACTCAGCAGAATTTCTAGTGCCGTTCAAAAGCAACAGAAACCAACCCTAATTTTAGAGTAACATGTTTCATGTAAAATATTGTCAACGTTATTTTAATTAGAGTAACACGTTTAATACATAATAATAAAAATATCAACCACAATTCCAAAATTAACAACTATAAAAATAAAAATATTAGTGAAATAAAATAGATAATTTTGATTTTAAATGTATTCAAACTATTTTGACAAAGTAACAGGTAAAACAAATAATAAAACCATAATTCCATTAATCATTATTATACGGAAAGTAATATTGCTATTAGAAAAAATATAGATGTTCCCCAAAAGGTAATATTGTTAATCTAATTATTCAAAAGCAAAAATAAAAGAAAGTTTTTATTTTCCAACACCAAGGTAGTTAGCAACTATAAAAAATAAAAAATATTAGTAAAATAAGTAAGAAGAATAAAATAGATCATTTTGATTTTAAATATATTCAATTTATTTAAATAAAGTAACAACTAAACCATAATAACATAAAACCATAATTCCATTATTCATTATTATACGGAAAGTAATATTGCTATTAGAATAACGTATAAAAAAATATAAATGTTCCCTAAAGGTAATATTACTAATCAAATTATACAAATACAAAAATAAAAGAAAGTTTTTATTTTCCAACACCAAGGTAAGTCGCCAACAAAAGTCCGTTCAGAATTACAAAGTATTACAAGAAAAAAAGCTTAGTTATTAGAAAATATAGTATAAACCAATAATTGGGGATTAAACTCACCCCACTTCCAGCGGTCGAGGGAATTAGCATAATCTGCCGCGAAGGAGGCGTTAATTTGCGAACCGTGGGCGGCGGCAGACTTCCCATTTGAGTGGCATACATCCACATTGCCGCCAGCTTTTCGGTGTTCACCTAAACAAACAAAACATTAAAATCAATGTCCATACTTTGTGTTAACATTTTTTTTGTCCACCTTTTCATTGCCATTTAAAGACATCGCCTTTATATATTGATCCACCTTTTGCTGGTCCAAAGCAATTCCCGAAGCATTCGACTTTATAATAACATCGCGCAGCTCGCTGTGCTCCGATCTGCAATAAAATTTGAAGAAATTCAGTTAATAAACAAAAATTGCATTTCCATTTTAAATTTAAACTTAATTGATAAGGCAACACTGCAAAATTTGGTATTTTAAAACAGTCGATAGACCGATTATTGGTCGTATTTTACGTATTTTTGGTGTATCGTCGAGGCTGAGTAAATTGTGGCGGCAATTTGAAAATTGCTTTACTTGTTGTGTACTTTTTGACATGGTCTCCGAACATTTCTTAAGTTTTTTGTAATCTGTTTTTAATTTATTGAACTGTAAATAAATGCATACAACTTTTATTTGCTTGCTTAGCTTGAGTCTTATTTAACAACATTTTATTAGCTTTCATCACACTTGCACTAGCTGAAAGTTGGTTTTATTTATCAAGTTTTTTATGTATCAAAATGTTTTATTTTTTTTTTTTTGTATCTAAATGCATTGCAATCCTAATGAAATCAATCAACGAACATCAGTTGCAGTACTTTGTTTCATTGGCTTCACTGTAGTTCTTTGTTATTAATATTTTTAGTATTTTCCGCCAATCCCCACTAGAACGTTGATATTTCATAGCTTTATGAGCACGGTCACTCTGGCACGCTAATCGATTTATTTTGTACAAAAAAAAACAGCATAAATCCGCAAAGTTGTCGCAAATAAGCGTGCAACTCGTTCGCCCTGTAGCCTAGTGCATCGGATCGGATACCCAAGTTGCCGCCAATATAAGCCCGCAGCCAGTAAACCCGATAAACAAGATATTCCAGGGATTGATCAAAAGCAAGGAGAAGAGGCACAACGGCACAACAACAACGCAAGCTCGCCACGTCAGTGGGAGTGAGCGAGAGCGCAAGAGCCAAGCGAACGGGAGCGAGCGAGAGGGAGGGATAGAAATAGAAAAAGGAGGAAAAATGTTTAGTAACTTTAAGGTACGTTTTATATCGGCCATAGCGCCGGATTTGCCACCACTGCCGGGCACCGGTGAACGCAACAGTGGCGGTCACCACTCGCAGCACCAGCGTCTCCGGTTCGGCGGTTCCGGCGGACAACCGATGCCGGATAAGTTCCCCTACGCCCGGCCGCCTTTCCTGCAGCTTCTCACGCCGGACGAACTGCGCGCCTCCGCGGACCACAATGTGCGCCCCATCATCGTGCCGCGGGACATCAACCTGCTGCCCTGGGGCACCGGATACGCCGAATGCGTCAATTCCGGAAAGTCTGAGTGGAACGAGGACCAGGGCGCCTTCTGCCGGTAAGTGAACCGGCCTGTGGAGGTCACCACATCCATTTTACCATCTTACTACAGATGTTGTTAACACATGTACTGTCCCTTTTTTATTCGATTCTATGAGATATAGCCGTCCTATCCCAACAAAGCTCATTACATCCTCCAAAAATTGTATTACTTCAAGTTGTATGATTGTCTTTAAAACAATTTCGATAATACCCATAGAAAGAATCTATCATATCATTCCTAAAAATAAACGTGGGATCACAGAAATTTTCAGGAATCAAAAAGCATTTACAGTAGAATCCGGATATAGCGACTTTCAAGGACCGACGATTTTACGTCGTTATACCCGGAAGACGCACTAACCATATAAGTTTGTATCATATAAGTTTGTATGGGGACCAACCCAGCCATTGAGTTTTCGTCGCAATAACCGGACGGACACTAAAAGGGGAGTCGTTATAACTGGATTCTACTGTATTTCACTTGCACTCAATAATCAAATATCAAATTCTTAAGAAAATATTTAATTTATTTAAATGAAACGATTTCAACGGAAATGATTTTACACCCTTTGAATGTTATTGAATTTTTTTTTGTTTGTTTCTCATTATCGAGAATATATTGCCCAAATTCCCAGTCCATTTTATTCTCAATTTAATAAAAAAAAAAATTATTGCTTAAGATGCTACTTATTTATAATATAATAAGCCTTGTTTGTCTGAAGATTGCGTCACTATTACTAGAACTCGAGATATTCTTCAAGAATGATGTGTTTGTTTTTCATGTTTTCTTAGAAACTGGCGTCAAAAACTTTGGGGATAACTAAGATTTTTGTTTACACATGTTCAAGATAGTGTTTTCATAGGTACATATGTGTCGCATTTTAGTGTCCCAGACAGGGTGCTAAACACCACTGGGAATTGTAAAATCAATATCTTGTAAGAAAATTATTAGGCATTGGTGCGAAATATTTCCGACTAAATGTAGAGCATTGCATAAATAAAATAAATGCTAGAAACTAACTGAGCTTCCCCTGAATCTAAGCAATTAAATCATTTATTATAGGAAGCTGATAGGGAATTCTTTGTAACTCGGATTGCGAGAATCCGGTTTTTTCTAGACACCCTTGACTATAGTTTTTAAATGTCATAGGCATAGCTTATTGATTTTTTTCACTTTGTGGGAAAAAATATGATTAGTAATGAGTTTAATTTAGGTTCAGAAAAACTAACCGGTTTGGAGTTCATTTGAATTTGAATAATTGTCATAACTAATCTCTACGTTTTTCCCTCATCCACAGGCAAGTTCTTTCGGATCCGGAGCACAAGCACCCGGATCTCCCTTACACATACTTTGGCATTTTCGACGGACACGCCGGATATGGAGCCGCACTGGCCGCCTCGCATCAGTTTCATCACATCCTGCACGAAAAGCTGGTAGACTGCCTGGAGCTGCTCCTGCCGCGGGACGCGGAGGCCACCAGTGGTGGCGGGGATGGCAGCAAGCTAAATCCCACATTTCCGCACCCCATATACTTTCAGCGCCGCGTGAGCAAGGACGAGCTGATCATCGGGGCGCTGGAGAGTGCCTTCTTCAACATGGACTCGCTGATAGCGCAGGACAGTGATCGTTATCGAGATGCCGGTGGCTGCACCGCCTGCGTTTCATTGTTCATCGATGGCAAGATGTATGTGGCGAATGCCGGCGATTCCAGAGCTGTGCTCTGCCAGCGGCGTGCCACACCGGAGAGGCCACAAACGAATACGGATTCTGGCATTGAGCCGGATCCCCTAGAAGCTAGCTGTTATCCAGTGCCGTTCTCCGCGGATCACACGCCCGAAACAGAGCGCGAACGATTGCTGAATGTGGCCAGGTTGAAGCCACACCTAATGGGCCAACATTATGTGGCCATGGAGTACGCCAAGCGGCCGCACATCAAGGACATGGGCCAGCGCATCCTCTGCCGGCAGGGAACCATGCGTGGCTGGACGTACAAGACGCTGACCAGGGAGGATCTCCGCATGCCGGTGGTGAATGGCGAGGGGAAGCGAAGTCGCTTGCTGGGCACCTTGGGCGTAACGCGTGGGTTTGGCGATCACGAGCTGCTGGCCATCAACACTGGTATACAGATCAAACCCTTCCTCACGCCCCATCCCGATGTGAGGCAACGAGACCTTACGCAGGTGGTCTGCATTCCGGATGAGGACAATCGGGACGGCGACTACGGCGTGCTCGTCATGGCCACCGATGGCCTGTGGGATGTGTCAGAGAATGAGGCTGTTTCACGCACCGTCTTCCAGACGCTCTCCAAATATCCAACGGAGAAGCATCGATATACGATGGTCGCCCAGGAGCTGGTTGCCCGTGCCCGTGGCAAAATCAACGACTCTGGGCATTGGCGACTCGCCGATAGCAAGGCGGCAGCCACGGTTGATGACATATCGGTGATTGTGATCCCGGTTAGCCAGTATTACAAGGAGCACGTGGAGTGGACACAGAACTACAAGCGAGATCTCGAGCATCGTCGCCGCCAGGCACAGGCCAACATGGCCCAGGAGGCGGTCAACGTGCTCAATGGCGTAATTGCCGAGGAGGCGCACGTCGTCGAGGAGGAGGAGGAGGGCGAGGTGGTCGTGCACGAAGCCAGGAGCTCGCAGAAGCAACAGGAGAAGCAGCAGCAGCTGGCGGAGGAGGCAGAGACCCTAGTGGTGGAGCTGACCCCCTCGCTGGAGCAGGTGCAGCTAAAGGACACGGATTCAGCAGGTGAGCGCTTACTCCCCGGCCATTTCACAATATGAATTGTTAAATTTAAAATTTCAATAAAATAAATATCCAAATAAAAGGTCCTGGAAAGACATTTCCTAAACCAAATCCAATGAATTCTCATGCTTCCGTTGCTTCTAGAAATGAAATGGTTTAAGCAGCCATAAGAATAATTTGGTTAATAAACTTAAAATATAGTTTATCCACTAATTTGCAATGTCAAGAAAGTCAACAAGTTTAGTAAATAACCTAAAGAAAAGACAATAACGAAACTTAACCAATAGGGAGGTTACCCTATGATTGGCTTCCAATTTAATGAAAACATCTAGAAAATAAAGAAGAGTCTTATGGAAATAAATACCTAACATTAATACATCATTTAATTTTTCTATATATTCTAGTGGCCGATTTCGGCAAGGAAGAGGATAATAATAAGGAGACAGAGAAAGAGAAAGACGCGACGACGACGCGGCAACAGCAGCAACAAAAGGGTCGCAAGGGCAAAGGCAAGCACTAGGACACAGGTCCTGCCACACAGGCCGCATTATTAGGCTTATTTAGAGACACAGCAATATTCAAACGGATACAGATGCGACAGTTGTTAACACATCTATATTTTTTTACACTCCACACACAAGAACAAACTCAAAACATTCAAAGTTTATACATAATTTGCTTATGTACAAAAAAAACAAAACGAAAACGCAAGTCAACTTAATTGCATTGTACAATAATTTGCTTTAACTTAAGTGTGTTTGTTTTCATTCGATCCAAATTTATAAATAGATGAACAAAGAAAGCCTCAGAATAACGGTGGCGAATTTTTCAATTAACACAAATGAAAACCTTATGATTCCAATTAAACACATACAAACAAAACAAAAATTGAAAAGTATTTTAAGCTGCGAAACGATAAAATAAAATAAAACAACAATTATTGTTACATAGAAACAATCGAACAAATTATTGGTATGATAGATAAGAGAAAAAACGATTAGAACTGAACAAAGTTCTAGCCAAATATGAAATTTCAGAAACATTGGGTGAGTCAATAGTCAGAGCGTATAGCTATTATGAAGAGCGCAATCGAAATACAACTTAAAAATAAAGTCAAGAAGCTTATAAATAAAAAATGTTATGCTATATAATGTTCACGTTCATTATTATAGTTTGATATCACCGCGCCGTGATAAAACCTTATCTAAAACGATAAGAACCCAGCGATAAGAAACCATTTATTTGCTTTACGCTTATTAAATCATAGATAAACATATACCATAAATGGATTTAGTATTTAATATGAGTAATCCCAGTTATATTAAAACAATTTCAAACTTTGAATTTAATTTATTTTTTTCACATCATTTTCTCCTGTTTGCTTTTTATGATTTAACTGTATAATAATTTCGAATCGATTTCGATTACAATAAAATGTTGTTATTAATTTTTTCAATAATTAATTTTGTTTTATCGGGTTTTTTTTTCATATATATAGTTCTGGAAGCTGTAAAAATCTACTAAGAAAATATATGTACGTAGCATCCATATATATATATTTTTGTTTTTCAGGGAGTTAAGTCGATGTCCAGGTTGAGATCGGGGTCCAAGAATATGTGTAATGGTTTCAGTATAATGGTTGGCCGCTGGGCCGAAATACTTGGTTTGCTTTTCTGGTTTCGGAGTTTGTCTGCCGTCTCTGTCTTTTTTGTGAAAGCCCAGAATTTTTTAACAAGCCGGGGATATATTATTGCAATATTTAGCTATGAAATTTAACTGTTTCATTTTCATAAGTGCCACAATTTAAAATAAATAAGTTTTGAATTGATGATGCTAGAATATTCGGTATATACTCTGATAGTATATACGATACGAATTTTATATTGCGTACGAATTTTTAAAACGTTCTAAAAATCAGCTTTCTTGATTTAATGATGCCATGATTTTCTTATAACTTGTCAAATCTTTCCAAAGTATCGCACATCTCATAATATATATTCTTTAAGTTGAACCATTAACGCCGGTTTTTTCTCAATTGGGGCTTGGGTAAATTTTTTTGAAAATTAAATTGTTAAAACTGTAATTGTGTTATTGTTATTGATTTTAGAATTTTGCTATATACGACCCCATATCTTGTTTATCATAGCATAACCATTATATCTACAATTTTTTTTGTATTTTGGAGGATCATACGAAATTCTACCCTCCATCGGCTTCCCTGTTTTTCTTTTCTTTGGGGAATTATCTATTTTAAAAATTTTTTCAAGTTTAACTAACATTTTCTAGGTGTTGTATATATGTATATGCAATTATTGTTTTTTTTTGTTAGCAGTAAGTTCAGTAGTGGCACAGCGCATAAATCTTGTTAGCATACACACACACGCATACAACACACTTACACACACTTTCAAAGCACACACACATGCATCCGAAAAGCACCAAAATATCGAAGTAATTTTGGTTTTTCAGTTAACATAGCTTGCTCAAATATTGATTTCAATTCACATCAATATTGTACATATTTTTATTCGGTTTTTTCTCATTTTGGTTTTTTATTTTAATTTTTATAATTCTTTCTAACACAATTTTCAACAAGTTTTTCTTGGCAAAAGTTGAAAAAATCAAATTACAAACGAAATAGCGAAGAATTTGCTTATAAAATCACATATTTAGTTGTCTTTCGAGTGGCAAACAAGTTCTTGGGCAGATCGTTCTATACGTATGGATTTACGTATGGAATATATATATTTATATTTCGCGTTAATTGTTTAATCGTACACTTTCATATCTATGTTGAAAGTTAGTGAGGGTTTGGAAACGACTCCAATCAATTTATGTTCTGAGTCATCTTGCTGTAATTCGAACCTTTCTATATCTAGTTACAGTGCATTATGGTATTGTAGAACGATACAACTTCTGTTGGAAGACATCGGCGAACGAAATTAGAAACCAATTCTATGTTGTCACATCTGTTTTTCGGCATGTGTACGATCAAACTGTGCGTTTCAGGACTATAAGACAGCTGCGCAGAATTTGCGATTTTAAATTAAAATCCGAATTCAATGTTGAAATAGGAGCGTAAACAATAGTACTTTTGTACAATTAAGGAAATGATTTACACTTTAATAGCACTTAAATAGTTCCATTACAAAGCAAATTAGGATTAAATGTCTGGCTTTTTGAAATCCTTTACCTTATTAGCCCAAAAAGCCGGTCCGTTTCCGCCTACGCTTTTATGTACATATGTGGTATAAACTCGTAAATATGTATATCATTTGTTAAGTTTTTTAGTTCTTTGTGCAAAATTGACATTTCAAGAAAAATTTGTGGTAAACTTTGTAGTTTTGTTAGGCTTATTATCTCTTTACACAGTTTTTTTGTAGCTTCTTTACTTTTTTTCATTCATAGTTTGGCGACAAAAGTGGTTAATAATAATAGAAAAGGTTTGTGGTTTTTGCCCTTGTTTTTGTTTTAATGTTAATTATATTCTTTTTTTGTATTACTTTTTAATTAATTAGTTATACAACAATAACAAGGTGATGTTGAAAAATTTAGCTACGATTAATTTAATTAAAAATATGTATGCATTTTGTTTTATAAGTTGTAAAGTTGTGGTGTGTGCGAGGGGATTGATGTCGATTTCGAGCTGAGGATAAATATTGGGAGATCAGGCATCATCTGGGATGATCCTGGCGTCACACACACACACACACGCACTCGTGGCCTTTGCTTAAGGATTTGTTATATAAATAGCTATATATATAGATGTATATCCGTATCTGTATAGTTATATTTGTGTATATAGATGCCCTGCACTTAGCTTTTTGGCCTTGGCATTGCGGTATGATTTTATATAAAATAAATAATTAACAGTTGTCGTCAAATACTTAAAGGTGGGCCAAGTCCCCATAAGCCTACACCACGCGCAGCTTGGCGCTGCGGCAGCGCTGGCGAGGATTGCCCAGTGGATGTGGACCAAGCCCGTGCCCATTGCCCTTGACGAGGCGTCGCGGTATGACACAGCAGCATTGGATCAGAATACTATAGAGTCGGAGAACTACCCGGATTATCTGCCTCTTGGCCTGGCGCCGCGGACACCATGCTGCGGCCCAGGATTAGGAGTGCAAGTTGGCTCGATCCTTGGCCCGCCTTTTGGCTAGCATCGAGAGTTCAACGGGTCCCACATTGGCCGCCTGCGGTATGGCAATGGCCCGAAACGTTGCATCCACTGCGCCCCTCAAGGCCATCGAAATGTGGTTCTGCTGCTGCTGCTGGGCGCCGAGCGACAGTTGTGATCCGGGAGCCACCGCATACTCCGTGAGCTGAACTCCACCGGCGAATTGTTCCCGCAGCCAGGCGTGCTCAAGAATTCGCGCCGCCGTCGGCCGATTCTCTGGCACTATGTGGAGCATCTGGCGCAACAGTTCCTTTGCCGGCACACTGACCAGTGCCCAGCGGCTGCTGGTGAAGTCAATGTGTCCCGACCCGATGCGCTTCAGTATAACATCCGGCGAATCGTTCGGAGTGCTGGCAAAGGGTGTCCGGCCAGACAGCATTATGTATAGTAGCACGCCCAGCGACCAAATGTCGCAGGCCAGGTCGTATCCCTGCCGTTTCAGAACCTCGGGCGCCACAAAGTTGGCCGTGTAGCAGGGCGTCATCAGAAGTCCGTTGTCCGCGCGCAGCTGCTTAGCAAAGCCTAGAGGGAAATATAAACGTCACTCCTGTTCCACCCGAAAGAGAGAACCTAAAAGAATATAGCCTTGCAGAAATTGTTCATAGTTTTCTTGTATATTCGGGGATACTCAAAAAATCTATTCCAATTAAATATTGTACTTCTATAGCAATTCCACAAAAATAACGTATTTTAAAACTATTTAGATTTTGAATTGAAAAGAAAGAATTAAATGATTTACGCACCAAAAATGTAATTTGTATATTGGTTATTTAAAATCAGTATTAATAAGAAATATTCGTTAAGAATAGTTATTCACTTTAATAACGCTTTACTTTCACTTTTAGTTTTATGTAAATCATATTATGGTGGTTGGGTATCGTGAGTTAAAATAATTTAGAATCATAACCTTTATAAAACGTGTTCTTAAGGCGTTGAGTTTGATATTTTTAAAATCCTTATATTCAACCTATTTATACTAAAAACTGAAAAAGTCACTGCAAGGCTATTCAAGGGGATAAACCGGCGGCTCCACACACTCACCCAAATCGCAGAGCTTCAGAGTTTCGGGAGTCTGTCGCATGCTGGCATATATCATATTCGAGGGCTTCAGATCCCGATGGACCACTCCATGTTCATGGAGATAAGCCACCGCGGATGCAATCGTCCTTAAAACGGCGCTCGCTTCGCTCTCGCACATCTGACCCACTGCTAAAATGCGATCGAGAAGCTCGCCGCCTTTCAGCAGCTCCATTACCAGATAGGCGGAACTCGCATCCTCGTAAACGGAATACAGAGTGACGATGTTGGGGTGGTTGCCATACCTAAGCATAATCTCCACCTCCTCCCAGCAGTCGGCTGATGTGGATGTGGATGCGGCGGCCACAGCTGCCTTTTCGATCACCTTCACCGCATAATGTTTCTTGGAGGCGCGATGTTCGCATAGACGGCAAACGGAGAAGGTTCCTCGGCCCAGTTCCTGCAGCAGATTGTATTCGGCATGGAAGTTCCCGGGCAGGACACCTGGTAAGGTGCGAGGCGCACCCACCGGAGCAGCGGGTATAGGAGCTATACTATGCAACGGGCTGCCACTGGTGGAGAGGCTATTCGAGCCGGCACATTGTTCTTCCAGGAGAACAGGAGCCACAAAGCTAAAGCCACGGAAAATCTCGTGCGCCGATGCGGAGATGGGGCCTCCCGGCGAATCCCTGGGGGATTTCGAGGTGTACTCCACATCGAAGTAGAAGGCATCGTCACGGCTAACCGCCGGTATGAAAGGCGGACGCACCTGCTTTCGTTCCAACCTCACCCAGTCGATGGTGGCGAAGAAGCAGTGCGCCTTGATATCCAGTATTCCCTGGGCACCCGCACCCAATCGGTTCTGAGGATTCCTTTTGAAGAGAGCGCGCAGCAGGGATTGTGCCTCCGGCGATAGATTCTCCGGCATGCCCAGCTTGCTCCTAAGTATCTGGTTCATGGTCTCCTGGCGGGTTTGGCCATGAAAAGGCAGATTCCCCGTCAGCATTTCGTACATGAGCACTCCGAAGCTCCACCAATCGGCAGCAAAATCGTGTCCCTTCCGGTTCACAATCTCCGGTGCCATGTACTCCACGGTTCCGCAAAAGCTGTAGGTTTTGGACCCATCCAGGGGCTGTTTGGACAGACCGAAATCCGTCAAGGCAATATGACCATGCTCGTCGAGTAGTATGTTCTCCGGTTTCAGATCCCTGTAGATGATGCCCAGCGTGTGCAGGTGGTTCATGGCTAGCGCCAGTTCCGCCAGATAGAACTTGACGTCCTCCTCGGTGAACATTACTTCTTTGGACAGGCGGGTGAACAGATCGCCGCCACGAAGGAAATCTAGTATCAAGTAGAGTTTTCCGGGGGTTTGGAAGGCGTAGTGCAGGCGTACGATGAAGGCATGTCCCACGTCCGCCAGTATCTTGCGTTCATTGGTGCTCCTCACGCGATCCTTGACCTTAAGGGTGGCCTTCTTGAGCACCTTCATGGCGTACAGGGTGCCAGCATCCTTGCCTATGATCTTGCGCACTAGGAACACCTTGCCAAAGCTACCTTCGCCCAGGACACGCAGAAGTTCGAACTGCGAGGGATCGGCCTTGTCGTGACCCTCTTTGATGACCTCCTTGAGCTCGAATTCGTTTTCGGTTTCGTCCAGGAGTTCGGTGTCTTCTGAGCCGGTGGCCCTGCCCCCAGTTGCTCCCTCTCTCCTGCTCCCCGCTCCACCGCCGCCCTGCGACTCGGAATCACTCAGCTCCATCAGTTCTGGCGGTGGGCAAAGGGTACGATTTGCTGTCCTTCCTCGGGGCGATTCCTGTTCCGCCGCCGGCGAGATGTGATGCTGTTCCAGGGCCGCCTGCAGGGCGGATTGCTGTTGCACCTGCTGGCGGCGCTGCGATGAGGTCACCGTGGTCACCGAGGAGGTGACCCCGCTGCTGCCACCGCCGCTCTCCTCGTCCTCCGTGGGCGTGTGCTCCATGGGCGTGACCGCCAGGCTGCTGCAGCCGGACGAAGTGATCTGCATGCGCTGGCGCAGCTGCAGGCCCAATCCGCTGCTGCTGTTGCTGCACTGCGGCTCCGCATTGTTGTTGCTGTTGGTGGAGGAGACATGCTGCTGCTGTTGCTGCTGCTGCTGCTGCTGAGGCTGCTGGCGGAGATCCTTTTGGGAATCGGCCAGCGGCATGACGTCAATGGCTGCTGGCGTCGTGGGGCTGCTGCTCCTCCCGGTACCTTCTTCTTCTTTTAATTGTGCTGCACCTTAATTACCAGCTCCACTGACTGTCCGGATACTCCTCCGCCCCCTCCTCTTGGCCGCTCCTGCTGCACCCTTTTAACCAGCTAGTGCTCCTCCTGCCCCTCTTCCTACGCTACCTGCTCCTCCGCCTCCTCTCCTCCCACTCTTTCCGATTTCTCTTTGCTTTTTTATTACTTCCGCTGCGTGGGCGTCGCTGCCGACTGCGCTGTTGCTTCTCCGGATTTCTCTGCTTTCCGTGCTGCCCTTTACAGCCAATAAGCTGCACTTTCTCAACGCGCCCCGTTTTATACGCCGACTGCTTTGCTATCCGCTTCGCAATCCGCACAGCTGTGTTGCTTCTTATCACTATTATTTACACATTAAACAATAAATAAAGTTTTTTTTAATATTTTTCCTACGCAAGTGTGACCGCGGCTTTAAAATATACCAAAAAGTATAGAAAATACCGAAGGCAGCACCCTGCCATACAAGTCGTGACTCATTCACCAAGACACGAGTCACTGTCACAGTGCTCTAATACGCTGTCCAGACAGAAGTCTAAAATCGCATTAACGAAATGCACTTGTTCAAAGTAAATAAGCCGAGGAAAAAAAGAACAACTACAGTATTTCTAGAAATCTAAACATTTAAAAATAATGTTTTATAACTAAATTACGTGGGTCAGTTTTTTTAAATTTCAACGGGAACAGTTTTGGGTTGTTTCCTCTAATGCTGAATTTTTCAGACGTTTAGTTTTTATTATTTTAAAATTGTAAAAAATGTGCACACAAAAGCCGCAATTTCAAAAATATTTTTATTTTAAGCAAATGAATCAAAATTATCAATGAGTTTTATTTTTACTCAAATGTAATTTTTTCCTAAAAAATAATTTTAATTTTTAAAGAATAATATTAAATATAAAAAAAAATATTTTTTGTGATTCAATAATTATAATTATTAATCTCTCTACTTAAATATTAAAACTTGAAAAGTATTAAAGGCTCTACTCACTTGGTGCATATCTGAAGGGCGCATCTGTAGACGGAGACGATGCTGACCACAAAGTGGAGGAATAGGGCGAAGATGAGCCCGCAGGCGGCGGAGACCTCGCTGTTGGCATTGATCAGGTCGAGCTGGAAAGAATAAAACTAGTAAGAGGAGTGCCTTTAACAGGAATATCCAGCCATACCTGCTCGCCCTTCTGTTCCGCCATCCTATTGAGATCCCTGGACAAGCCCACCCCGGAAATGGCCAGGGCCAGAGTGCTGCTGGCGATGCAGACCAAACTAAGGGCCAGAAAGGCCGTCTGCGTCTTGCGCATGCTCACCACTCCGAGTGAACCCGTGACGGCGGCTATTAATCCCGTCCAGATGCCGCATCCCGCCATGGAGAGCGCTGCCTCTCGAACGATCAGCAACGATCCCAGGGCCACCAGGGAAATGGCCAAGAGCAACTGCAAAGTGCCCAGCACTATTTGCAGTGGAAATGCCGAGCAGCATTCGTTGCTGGCCTTTCGCTTACGCCGATCCTTGGAAGAAAGCGACGAGGAGGCACTGCCTCCGCCCTCGCTGCCCTCCTTGTACTTGATGAATTCCGGTGGGCAGCGCTGCTTACGACTGATCCTGGAGTCCAAAGTGTTAGCCGGGCTTTTGGTGGCATTCACCTGCACAGAAACAATAAAACGTTTTTTAATAATGATCAATTGGCTGATTTCACAAATCATTTTGATTTTACAAAAGCCAAATTTCAATACATTTAAGTAATATAGTTTGATTATAGTTTGATAAGTTATTTCTTAGCTGGTTTTCTACGCAAGCTGTCCCGAAAATAATTAAAATGAAGTTTCAAGGAACCTGTTTTCCACTTTGCATTTATTTCTCTATGGGAAAGGTCCCACCATTTTGGTTTCGCACAACCTCTTTAACATATATGGTCCTTCGGAGCGGATGTAAAGAAGTTCAAGGGCCAAAAGTATTGAAAAGCCCACTCAACATGAATATTTTCTTTAAAATAATGATTATCAAACGGTTGAAATTAAAAACATTTATCTACCATCAAAAATGTGTGTGCGCAGTATTCGGTGGTTGGTAGGCCAAACAAAAGAACACTTTCTGTATTTCGATAGAGGTGATATAGAACTGTTTTTTTTCAATGTGGATTACCTGGTTGGGATGCCGCGAGGCCATCGCCTCCTCCAGCTGCTGCTTAAACTCCTGGTGCGAAATCAACTTGGGCTTCTGGTTGTCCTCGTCAGTTCTGGCCTTGGCCTTCTCGGTATCCAAGTCCAAGGCGGCGGAAAGGACTTTCAGCGCCGGCGGCTTCTCATCGTAGACGGGACTCGAATAGATGTGACTCTGGGCATCCTGGCGTGCCTGATCCTGATCCTCCTGCTGCTTCCGATCCTCGTCCCTTTGCAGCATGCCAATTTGCGAGTTGGTCAGACTACCCGAACCCGTCGTGTTTGTGGTATTCGTGCTCTGCTCGATAGTGGACACCACCTGGTGGAGTTCTTCGCGATTCAGACTGCGATCCACAATGGTGTCCATGCTCCCCGTGGTGGAATCATGCGAATCTATAGTGCGGGCCGGCGAGGCCGAGTGGCGGCCATTGAAGTCTCCGCCGCCTGGCTGCTGATTGCTGGTCTCTATCATTTCTGCTGAACGGCTGAGATGATTGGGCTATGACGATGGTGATGTCACTGGTTCATTGACAAGCTGCAGATAGAAGAGGGGAAAATATAGTTATTTATTTTGCTTTTCAAGATATTAATTCTTGATAGGAGAGGGAAAAATATAGTTATTTATTTTGCTTTTCAAGATATTAATTCTTGAAAACAAATAAATTTCTGCAGATCTAATCGCATTTGATAAATTCAATTTTTCTAGGCAAAGATTTGCCATTATACTTAAACTTCCGTATTTTTAAATGTAAGAAAATCCATTTTTGTTTGTTTGTTTTATATTATCTTAAAAAATGGCTAACAAAGTTTAGTAAGCTTTTCGGTATTACAAAGTCATATTCAAATTCTACATTTTCATATTTGATTTAAAAGTGATTTTCTTAAATATTAAATATTCCATAAGAACGTTAAGAATCACAGATGTACATATTTTTTAAATCAGCTTTTTAAGCATATACACAAAACTTGAATTATTTTCAAGTGTAGCATATTTCGTGCTTCGGGCAAAAGCCATGGCCCATGGATTAGCGAATCGACACCAAACTCCCCGCGGGCGAAGCAGGTTCGTTGCCAGAGTCTTTTGTTTGGCGCACACACTTTCGAAAGGCGCTCAGTTATCGCTTATTTATCCATCGATCGATTGCTTTTGGCCATTCATCGATCGATGATTGATCTCTTAAGTCGCAATTTGGTCGCATAATTGCCGCAATAATCGCCTGTTCTTAGCCCGCCATTAATCCACTTATAATACCTACTCAGAATCGGATCCAACATAAACGTGTGTCAACCGGCTGGCATTGCCAGTGTTCTGCATCGAACACCTTGACATTTGCCTGCCGCTGGCCGGTTGTCATTGTTCTTGGCTTTTGCGAACCGGTTCGCACTTGGTTGGCAATTAAACAAAAACCGAAACTGAAACCAAAACCGAAACCAAAAACTAAAATGAAATCGAAAGCCCAAACAAAATGGAAAAGCTAAAACCAAACAGTCGCTTAGGGCACCAAAAAAATTGAATATTTTAAATTAAGCTGGCAGGCTGAGTATGAATAATATATGCAACTAGTCAGTTATTTCTTTTAAGAAAAAGATGAAAGAATTAAAAATCATTATTCAAAAATAAAATATAATTTTCAAACTATACTTTTAAAATAACAAATGTTTTCCGCACCTATCTATATTTTTAAGTTAAGGAAAACATATTTTGTTCTAAATTGCTAAGTAAATACATATCTTAAACATTTTGTTTACAAATCTAAATTTCTTATTAAAATATAATAAACTATTTAATTAAAATATAGGTACATTCCAAATTATCTTGGCATACAAAAATATTGTTTTCGAATTTTTATTGGCAAATTTGGGACACAATAGTCAGAACTTTAAGTTTAAAGATTCAACAAAATTTTATTTTTTGTGCATTTTAAGCAGCCTATAAACGCTCTCGAAGAAGGGGGAGTGGCAGGTTTTGAGGCGGGGGCCATGGGGTCGCATTGTTTGGTGGTGCCATGCGTCGTATGCGCGATATCGCTTAGAGGTAAACCACTTAAATGGCATCTGATATGGCAAATTGTTTGGTGCAAGTGGCAAATTGGTTTTTATCTAGGGGAGTGGAGCAAGTACAGCCTAGAAATAGCAACAAGCTTCAAGTCTTCCATTCGAAGTAAGAAATACAAAATAGAAAATAAGAAATAAATGTAAAAATAATATTTAAATTAATCAGCCGATTATAAATTACATTTGTCATTAAAAATTGTTTTTTTCATTCAAAAATCGGTCAGATTTCTCAGGTTTGTTCACCTATGCCGAAATAATCTACCATCTTTAAGCCAACATAGTAATATAAATCTTATTTGAACTATATCAAAATATATGATCAAAACCGAAACTAATTCTTTATTATTTAATCTTAGCTTAGAAAATCAAAACTAGGTCACTGAGAGCCAAAAGCGAATGCAAAACATGCCGGAGCAATGATAAAACACAAAGTTGTGCTGTGAGCTCAGGAAAGTTGGTATTTAGCTTGGTATTTCTCGGTTTGCTGTTGACATTTCGCCACTTGCAGCCAGCCAGCAGCCTCTTTCTGTCTCTATTCCAGCGTTTTCCCCCCGCTTTTCCACCGACAGACGACAAAGCTTTTCACTGTCCCAAGTCCGGCTGCTCATTTGTGGCACTTTTCATTTTCATTTTCACTGTTGTCGCCTTGACAGCAATTAGGCGTAATTGGCCAGACACACACCGCCATACGTGAATGGCTTACACTTCAATTAGCACAGGAAAATCGGCCCGGCTGCCTTCGATTTGGATTCAAGGAACCCGCCCTTCCCCTCCATCCTCCGGGTTTTGAGCACTGTTTTCCATTTTCCAAAACCCCAATACTCCACAAGCCATTCCCACACTCGCAAGTGTTGCCAAGTTTTTATAGCCAGAGTGCACCTTTTTCAAAGGTCGAAGAGGAATTTTAAAATAAGTAAAAAATTTAAGTACTAGAAGCTATTTAGTGTAGTACTTTAACGACATTTATCAAATAAATTACTTATTTTTTAAGTCACCTTAAAAGATTATTAAATAAATATATATTTGATATATTAAACAAATGTAATTTAAAGACAGGTACAGGTATGTTCAAGATATAATTTAATAAAAAGCATTTCTATACTTTCAAAAATGAAAGAAAAATGTTTTCGAAAGCATTAACTTATTGTGAACATCCGAGAAAAGAATCATTGCTTCTACTTCTTTATATAAGAAAAGTGTTTTTTATACTGTTTTAGCTTTTTTTTTGTTTGCTTGCTAGCCTATTTTATTTTAAATAATTGCTTTATCTACTTGTTGTAATATTAGGTGGCCAACACTGTTGCCAAACTGCAGCTGTTACTGCACTCGAAAATCGCCCAAGCGCTTAACCAACAAAACCGCAACTGCAACACCAGAAACTAATGCAAAAACATTCAAATTTGTCGATAAATCAGCAGAGCAAATAATCAAAAAATAGCAAAGAGATTAAGATAAACAGAGAGATTTGAACAAGCTAAGCTGCGATTAGAGAATCGATAGTTAAGAGTATAAAAATGTTTAAGGCACAGGGAGAACTAGTTAATAAGTTATTTATTTATTTAGATATATCAGTAGATAAACACCATTGACCGAGGGCAAAAGACGTGGAAATATCTTTGGAGAAACCAATATCAAACACAATGAAAACTCCGAAAAGAGGCAGCAAAGTCACAATCAAAAGCAAAAGAAGAAAGCCAAACCACAGCAATAGCAGTTACTTCAAAAAAACAGTAGCACTATCAAAAAACGTACAGCATCAATTAAGTTGAGTATTTTGAATACAATTGTATATAATGAACGAATTTATATTTAAAATTATTTAATTAAAATTTAATTTAACTTGGCACAGTTAAGATCAAGCTTTTTCCAAAATAAAACCAATATTTCTCTTTGTGCAATCTTGCTGGTTTACAAAAAGTGCTGCTGCTTATTTTTCCTCTAAATTGTGCTTTTCTCCACTGTTTTTGGCCAAAGAAAGGGCAAAGTCAAACGGAAATATGAAAAGACGGATGGAAAGGGGGCAAGGCAAAGGAGGAGCTGGTGACTGGTAGATGGCCATGATGACCATGATGGCATGAGGGGAAGTGGGATGTCGATAAGTTTTCCTGAAAGTAAAATTGCACCGGTTTGACAGCAGAAAAACTCCACTGCTGCGGTCAGCTATGTTGTGTCCACATACATATGTATATACCTGAATTCACATGTAAATATATATACACTTTCACTGGCCGGCGTCTCATGTTGGCCATAATTTTGGTGGCCAATTGATTGACATACACCAATTTTTGCCCAACTATTTTTTAATGGAGGAGCCAAGTTAGATAGAGGATTTCCTCACATTATCGGCGTTGCCTTTTCCAGCGGAACCAAATAGAAATATATTTTCGAAACCATTTCTTGCATGCCAGCCACTGAGGCAATCCATTGGATTTGCTAATTATTCACATATCGAAAGGTTGTTATTTCTCTCTTGCTTGTTATACCCGTTACTCGTAGAGTAAAAGGGTATATTGTATTCGTGCAAAAGTATGTAACAGCTAGAAGGAAGCGTTTCCGACCCTATAAAGTATATATATTCTTGATCAGGATCACCTCCTGAGTCGATATAGCCATGTCCGTCTGTCCGTCTGTCCGTCTGTCTGTCCGTCTGTCTGTCTGTCTGTCTGTCTGTCTGTCTGTCTGTCTGTCTGTCCGTATGAACGCTGAGATCTCGGAAACTATAAAAGCTAGAAGATTGGCATTTTGCATGCAGATTCTAGGAGTTCCTACGCAGCGCAAGTTTGTTTCAAAAAGGTGCCACGCCCCCTTTAACGCCCACAATCGCTTGTATACGATTTTAAAAATTTAAATATTTCGGAAAAGTAAAAATGCAGTTTTATTGTGTTTATCAATACCTATCGAAATGTAGAAGAAATTTTTCAAATCGGACCATTCGTTAAAAAGTTATGCGTGATCAAAATTTCTATCTCCATCTCCCTCGCACTCCCTTTACCTGAGTAACGGGTATCTGATAGTCGGGGCACCCGACTATAGCGTTCTCTCTTGTTTTTTGGTGTAAACGAAATTGAAACTTTGCAAATTTGATTAAAGTTATGACAGCTGCGCTTAAAGTGGAATGTTTGGGCAGCGCTGAGCGTTGGCTTAAAATATGCATTGAGGCAAACACCACGAAGGGGGTGTGCACTCAAAGTGGGTGTTGAAGGAAGGTAAGATTGAGATCGACGACATTAAACCTAACACAGAGAACATTTTTATGTCTTTGGGAGATCTAAAATATTAGGAATGATCACAAAAGTTATAGAAGAGTCAGCATTGGTCTCTAAACTTTTCCGAATAGAACTGACAATACAGTAACTTCGTAAAAAATCAAATAATTTAATCAAAGTCAGACTACTATATCATATATCTACATAGAAGAGGTCATTCAAATTATAGTCTGCGGACATCCGTTTAAAATTTAAGATAAAGATTTTGGTCAAT